CAGTACAAGGATAGTCCGTGGCTCTCTCTAACTTAGCCAGGTTTTGACAATTATGGTGAGGACCAGATGCCCATTACAAGGCTTAAGGCTACAAGACAGTTCCCGAGCATTGTTAACAATTGCACCAAACTCTCAGCAGTGCAGCTCGGTGCAGAATGTAATTCAGACTATAGCTTTTTTATTGCCGCCTATTTTCTTTGTCAAAAGAGCCCTGCTGCAGAGCAACAAATGCCTGCTATTACCCAGAAGGTAATGGGTGTCAGACAAATCACATAACACAAACAATCAAGAGTATGTAGGTCATATTTCAACAGAGCACAACCTTAGCAAATTTTATTACTGCATTGAAATGTGCGCCATAATAAACAAGCACCTCGTACATCACTCACACTTACGCACTTCTGCACAGCAAATCTGGGAGAAGTGGTACATACTCTACAGTCATCTTTTTAAACAGTCCTTTTATTTAAAAAAAAAAAAAAGGCAGACAAGTTTTGTTTTGTTTTTCATTATCGCTATGAAACGATTTTCTTGGAGGATTTTCTTTTCGGTTTGTTTGTTTAATTGAATGACTCTGATAAATGGTGAGTCCCTGGCTCTGTTTCTTGTGCTGTGCTATTCACCAATGACCTTTTTTTTTTTTTTTAGTAGTTTATAACATTTTGCAGAATCTACAGCAAAATCTGCAACTTACTTTCAAGTTTGTTTAACAGTGGGATTTTGCATATGTTGCACGCCAATTCAGGTACTTAAGAAACAACAACAACAAAAAATCAGGAGATGAGATTCTAAGTTGCTTTAAAACACACCAAAATAGGAAAACGGAGCAAAGAGAGGTGTGTGACTTGTCCTACTCACATATTTCAGGCCTCACGAATTTGGAGTGGGTGTCAAGAGTGCAGAGGGAAAGCTGATATTCACTGAGTACCAACCGTTACCTCTAAAGCAGTTGTTAAAATATTCAGTTGATAAAAGCTGCTCTAGTGTTCTCTCCATCTGCACCTACTTCCCCAGGACTCAATGGAGCTCCACAAGACCCAGCAACAGAAGTGCTCCCACTTGGCACAGAAGGTTCTCCAACAGACCCCGCTAGTCTTCTGGCTGGCTTCAGTCCATTTGGAAGTGGCCTGCCTTCAGTACATTTTAAGTATTTCTCCTATCACCCCTGGTTACTGGGGAACAAACTGGCCTTGGAGAAAAGCTTCAGAACATTCCTATGACATATGCCTAATTCCCCAACTCTTGCTCATGGAAGATGAAGATATCATTAATTGGCCCCTGTGTAAATTCCCCAGAGAGCTGGGAGAGGGGATGAGTAAGGGGAACCTGGCATTTCAGGTGGCTATTGCCAAACCCCAAAGCTGATGTGGGAGAGAAAATTCCTTTGCTATACTTGGCTTACAAGAAATAGGATAGTACCATTTCCAGAAAAGAAAAATTAGGAACAAAGGAACTGTCATTATAGACACTGGGTCAAAAAGAATGAGATTAAAAATAGAAAATGAAGAATATGGTTGAAATATGGAAGAAATTTCTGACAGTAAGAGTTGGCAAGCACCGGAATGGGCTGTAAAGAGAATTTGTTGGGTTTCCCTTTCTTAGATTCTTGAAGCACAGGAAGAGATTCTGTGACCTGTCAAAATCACCTTCCAGTTCTGTGATGCTATGGTTTTCCTTTTAAAACTACCGACAACTACCGATATTTTACTTTGGTCTACTTTCCCAAAGATATGTCACATACACAAGAAGTATATACGCCAAAAGGCTACAGCCGTTTGTCAATATTTATGCTGTTTGTCAATACATTTTTTCCAGCAAAATGAACTTTTAAATGGAGAGTCCAAAAAGGCAATGTAAAATTCAACATAAAAGTGGTAGTTACAGATTGGTTAATGAGTGTTTTGTTGTTGTTTTTATGGTGAGTCTACTAAAGTACACTTGGAATGACTGCTGATTAAAGCCTAGAGAAAAAATGAAGTAAAAAAAAAAAATAACATCAAATCACATGTCCCCTCTGATGAAAATAATGTGGAAAAACATATATCAATGGAGAAAAAAAATTATGAAGTCCTACTTGTTTTAGGGTGATGACATCTGATTATATTTTTTGCTCTTCTCATTTTCTTTATCAGTTATAAAATAGTTCTGCTGTTACAATGTTTACAGTAATAACAAATAAAAACTATATATACATATACATAAAAGTTTGGGGTCAGTCACTTTGGTCCCTACCCAAATTCCTTCGTGTCTGTGGTTAAAACCGTCACCTTGTTGAGCTGACATTGCTTTGCCATTCCCATTTCAGAAACAAAAAAGTGTAGCACTCTGAAAATCTCCATATGCAATAGATTTAAATGCCTTCTGCCAAAAGATCATTCTCTTTTCTCTCATCTTGCTTTACTAACAGCTATTTTGAAATCAAATTAGATTTTACACCTGTAAAAGAGAAGAGTTTTTTTTATCAGCCAAAATAAGCTAGTTTAGGACAATCACAAAGAAGTCAGACCAGCTGGCAATACCTAATAAAGCAAACTTCCTATCTCATCCCTCCTGTTTCCCAAAGACACTGCAGATGGGGCAGAGGCATTATTCTGGAGGTCTTAGAATTTTGTTGACTCTTTACATTTCCACTTAAACATTTGGAAAATTTCACTAAAATTTGTGAGAGTAAAGAAAAAGAAGACACCAGAAGGCCTGAGCCAAAGCTTGGGTCACTTCTGCTGCAATCAAACCGATTAAGTCTGTAGACCAAGGATCAACAAACTACCAATATGAATGCTGTTTCTACCCTTGCCACCCACCTGCTGCACCTGTGGCAGACATCACTAATTGATCATGACATTCCCTGTGAGCACAGACTTGGCCTTAGAACCTTTCTCAACACAATGCTCCTGGCAGACAGTACCAATCAATGACACTTGGCAAGTGCAGTGAAGCCTATTTAACATAACATATGTCAATTACTATCTTTAAAATTCAGACTTCAGGAAAGAGACATAATTTCTCTTCGGGCAGACCTGCTTTGAACCCAGGGTCTATCATATAGCTTGTATCAACGTATAAATCTTTCCTGAACAATGAAATGGGCAGAGAGTAAGGAAGATACTGTATGTAAAGTGCCTGTTTAAGGAGTGCCTAATTGCCAGAAATTGTAGGCATAGAAGTAGCTGTTGCTGAGAGAATCTCAAATCAGTGAGTTTTCTACCGTGATTTGGTAAATTCCATATTTACACCAAAAGCAGTATTTGTTCAATTTGACGTGAAAACAGTGGGAGGTTGGGGAAGCACAGAAAAAGAATAAATAACTTCATATATGAGATTGCCAAAGAGGATACACGGCAAGGGCAATAAAAGGGAAGAGGTGAAGACAGTCAAAAGTTGAAAAGATAAGAAGCAAGGTACAATGACCACTGCAAATGATTAATCAGAATTAGTAATTAAATATCTAATATTTATTGAGCACTTATATAATCAGGGGGCACTCATGTTTTATCTCATTTAATCCTCACATTGACCCAATGAGATGTAGGTATTGTGATCATCTTCATATCACGCATAAGAATCCTAGTCTTTCAGAGGTTAAGTAAATGGACCAAGGCCACACACTAGATGGGAGGACATTCAGAATTTAAACTTGGGTTTGTCCAACAACCAAGCCAAGGTTTTGTAAACTTCACCAAGCTATGCCGTCTGCTCTTTAAAATCATGATATACTACTTTTAATTGAAGCTTTGCTGCTTATAAACTGTTTTACTTCAGATCAAACCACATAAAATTCCATTTTTGTGTGTCAAAAATGATTGCATACTGGCAGTTTTATTTTTCAACCTATATTCTAGTCTTTTGAGTTGACAGTTTTATCAGTAGTTATGAATATGACTTTAAAATGGAGGAAACTGAGGCGTAGAAAAGGTCAAGGATGTAGAAAAGAGTCTTAGCAATCAAAAGATCCAGGAGGGAAAGTGTGTGTGCCATCTTGTAGCTCCTTATTGATTTTACAGTCCTTGCCAAATTCATTGTCATTTGAGCATCCCTTTGGTTTCCTGCTTTCTTGCTTCTGCTCCATCAACATCTTCTCTCCATTCCACCCCTGTGCTTCAAAATCTGTGCATTTTGTTGTTGTTGTTTTCCCTGAAGGCTCTCCAAGTCAGGTTAGCCTATGGAGAGTTCAATTTCCTCCACATTCCTTTCCATGGATCACTTCTGTCATTCACTAGGATGATACTATCGCCTAAGTATTTCTGTCAGTCCTTTAACTGCCTTTATCATTTTTTAAAAATCTTTTGGTCAATCAATGTATTTAAACTTGAAGCTGTGCTACCGTGTTTTCCCTTTGACAACTCTTTTTCTCCCTTTGTGATTCTTTCTAGGTACAATTAGTGTTTGTCACAATCTTCAAACACTACTAAGTGACCAATTTTGCTGAAGGTTTTTAGAGGAGATGACAATTGTAGACATTACATGTTGCATTGCATTTCAAGCCCACAATATCTCTAGAGAAAAAACAAATCTCCCTCCATCTCCTCTTTACATTATTCTCCAGGAAGGTTCCAAACTTTACCTTCCAGCCTCATTCAGCATCTTTCAAGTCCTCATCTCCCTGCTATCCAAAGCTCTAAATCCTTTCTCTTACATAATGCAATTGGGCTTTACTTCAGCTTCCCCAATTTATATCTGTACAGCTATTATAATCACACTCAATGAACTAAAAACTGCCTTCTGGGCCTACCTTTGTTAGAAGGTGGTGGAACATATCCAATAAATAATATTTGCTTTCATGCCACTTATCAGTGTGTCTCAGTACCCCAATAGACTAAATAGTTAATGTGCATTGTACTGGTGATTGAAATTATGTAAGATGGTAAAATCTCCTGTAAATGAATGAAATGTGAGTGTGGAAAAATATTCCTGTAAAAAATAACTCAAAAAAGGTCATTGCTAAAATAAGGGTTATCAAATTAGTTGTGGATGGGTGGAATTGGAAATTATTGGAAAAATTATAAAAATCTAGAAGAATTCAGACTACCATACCAATGTCTCTAATCTTGACCTTCAAGGAGCAAGCAATAAAAAGTGGCTACCATCTATAATATGTATTGTATAATAATATATTAGTATGGTTTATACAAGACAGATGAATAGATAGACCCCCAAATAGCAAACATAAGCTCAAGGTAAAGATCTCCATCTTCTACCAAAACTGTAATATTTGAATGTATATTTTTATGTTTTAAGCAAAGGTAAAATAAAACAGTATATGCTTGAATCAACTTTTTAAACAAACCCACCAATTGCTGGTCCTCACTGGTCAGATAAGAAGGCCTCTACCGCATATAATATATATACACACAAAAGCTACTTCTAAACATATATGTAAGTTATGATGTATTTAAGAAATAGTGTCATGTATGTATTTAAGAAATGATGTTAAGTATATGCTTATAAGTAAGGATTTGTGTGTCTAAGTGTGCATGCCTATAAAGATATGTATATATGTACATATGTGCGAGTCTGCACACACATATACTATCTATCTACACCATGAAATTAACTACTCTACTGCTTGACCAAGTCATGCAATCATGCATTAGGCCTTTCATAAGAAGGTAATTTAGCAAACTCAAAGTGTGAAATTAAACGTAGCAACAATGACCACGGTGGATGTAGGCACCATAGTTCTGGTTGAAAGCATCTTGTTTAATGTACTGTTCCTTTAATCTTATCAGCAATGGTCAGACCCAAAGACTTTCTTGTTTAAACATCCCACGATTCACTTTTTGGTGGAGTTCAAGTACCTAAACTTAAAGCACTCAGTGCAAAGGCACCATTTGCAACCAACTCAGAAGTTTGCCTAAGAGCTCTTCAGTTAGTCTAAGTTTTTAAAGTGCTTCAGTATTTTTTATTATTTTTTTTAGAAAATAAGCAACTGGAAATATTTACAGATAACTTCTTATCCAATTTTGTATTCTTTGTTAATTTCATTAATCACATGGACAGTACACTCTATTATCTTATTACACACACACCACACACACACACACACACACACACAAACACACAAGTTCCAAGTGAAATATAAGGCTTACCTGCAGTTCCAGAGAGTTCCACACTTAAGGTGCGTTCAATAGTCTTGTTCTCAAATGGGGAACCCTTGGGGTCACTGGAAGATATGGCACATTTATAAAAACAAACTGAAATGGAGTTGCTGTAGCCAAATGTATTAGAACCCCCTTCCCTTTCTGAAAATGGTTACGTTTCTTAATACTTACTTTGGTGACTCTGGGGTCAGAGGAAGAGATAAAGTTGTTGGTTTGGCTAAAGAAAAAAAAAAAACTAATTATGTAATATTGAGTGTCTTTTAGATTTCTTTTCTTTCCACAACAGTCAAGTTGGAAAAACAACCAGAAAACTGAAAGACTAAACTAAGGAATTCTCTGAATATTGAATCAAAGTCAGACAAAAGTCCATTATGCTAAAACAGATTCCAAACAGCATTTGCATCAGTAAACTACCATTCGAAAACACATACGAAAACAGAATTTTTCCAAAAATGAACCCTCCCTGTTACAGATACAAAATTTGCATCATACCATCAGAGAGAAATAATGTTTTTTGTTTTAATTTGGAATACAGTACACGGTTTGTTTAGATAAGAAAACAGCAGAGGAACTACAAGGCGACAGAACGTTATGAATATTCAGTTGATTTTACTCCTAAAATGTATAATTTTATATCTAGCCCTGATAATAGGTTATTTCTATGAGGCCAAAGCTCATGCAGTAACTATTCCACTCACTGAAAATTAATTGAGAGATGATGGCAAATTGTGGGCATTGACCCAGATGGTTTAGAAGGGGTTCAGATCCGTAAATCTGATAGACAACTAAAGTAAGATACCATGTTTATCAGTTGAAAGGTGTATAGATTTGCAAAGATGCTAACTACCTCCTTTTGTGCTTTCCTGAATCTTACCTCCTACAGGCGGCATTTCCCAATAATGAAGGGTGAAGAATCTTCTCACCCAAAATTTCAATTGCTTCTCCATGGCAATCTTGTATTTTGAACAGAAGGAGGGGCAAATATGATGAGAGGCATACTTAGGCTATACATTCATGTATTACGTATATCTATGCTTATCTATAAGCATATGCTTATGTGTATGTAGGTTTATGTCAATTTTTTCTCATTAAAATAATTACTTTCAAAAGGTCAAGTGGTAGTTATTTATGTAATGGAAATCGTAGTGTCAAAACCAAAAAGGTGTTTAGAATAGTTTCTTATCTTATGGCTGAAGAAACTGAGACCCAACAATACTAAGTGGTATTTTCAGGGCCATAAAATAGTTACTCACAGAGTTGGCCAAGATTCTGTTTCCTTTCTCCTATTGTCAAAAGAAATTGCATTCAACAGACTTTAAAGTAAATTAATCAGCCCCAGCAATTAATTTTTTGAAATGTGAAAATATTATTCATGTCCAAAATAACGTGAAATTAGATACTTTACTTGGATAAATAGTATTTACATATTTAATTTATAGATTTAGATTTACACAGTTGAATAGTATATCATCTTTCAATGTACATCCAGAAATATGAAGCTCATGATATCTTCAACAAATTAGATACATTGATTGATTCAGTTTTTCATTTACACAAATAAATGAGCTGATTTTACATTAATTTTTGAGTATGTGTAATATAACAAGTCTTTCAAAAAGAATCCACTTATGAAGAAACTTTACCAAGTTTTATGATACTCAACTAATAATTAGGATAATTCATACAAATTCCATAGAAAATATAACCAGATATTAACCATGTGCTATGTGACATAATAAATGTACATTAAAAATCAGTCACTGAAATTCTGGTTTTCAAGAGGTAGCATAGGCTATTTGAAATGCTCAAAGAAAGACTCTCAATTTCTGATTGTTGGGTACAGGTAAGGCCAAAGTCAATGAAAGGAGAGGAAATGGCAACAGTCATAGTTAATGAGACCAAAAGCAAACAGGAAATGAGAGCCATAGGAAGGGGACAGTCCCCAAACCACATACAGAATCTGATCCCTGAATAAACCCAGACTCTCTAATGCTACCATTAGAGGAGTATTGATTTGATTTATTGAGAGTTTAATTCACCCTGTTCCAGTGACTGGTAGACCAGAGACTAGTAGGATCCTTGAAGTCAGGAATGTGTCTTTTTCATGTAGATTGTGGTATTTGGATGAATGCATGAATAAATGGACAAATAAATGAGACATCAACACACAACCATGGCTAGACGATCATGCTAAGGAAATGAAAAGAACCTGCCTCCAAAATGTTTTATGGAAGGCATACACAAAGTTCAGTGAGAAAAAATTACAACACCTTAAGAAAGGTAATTTCAATCGATCCTCCTAGTTATCTCTAATTGTTCACATATTTTCCACATTTTGATTTTAAATAATAATTCAAATAATTACTGAAGTTGAGCATGTATTAGTTCTTACTCGTCAGCCATGTTTCATTTCTTTTAGGCCTTTCATAACTAAAGGATTTTGTCTGTTTGTCAACAGACTTTGGTCTGGGGTGAGTCTTTTGTGCCTTGCCACAGACATATACCATATACAGCCAGTCTCATCTAAAGAAAATTTCCTCCAAAGGCCTATTTAACTCTTCATTGTCATGATTTGTAAAAGTTTACTAAAAGAAAAATAAAAACAGGAAAAAAAAAAAACTTTAAAACATGTGCTGCCAGGCTGGGTCACATATTACAAGGACTTTAAATTTGGCCCCAGAAAATACATGCATGACCAGGACAGGGTGAGGAGTAGCCCGGTAAATTCATTTGTTCACTCACTAGAGCGAGCTCATCTGCTTCCCCTCACCTGAGGCCTTCATGACCAATGAGGCCTACGGCACTATGGTTCTGCTCCAGGAAAAACTGTTGCAGTGCTTATGAGGAAGATCCAGCTGGAGCAATGAGAATGCGGTCCATTTCACTAAATATATTTTCCCAAACTGACAGAAAGTGATTGGAGATATCTACCAGGGAAAGCCTAATAGAAAGTCAATTTAAAATATTAAAGGAAGGCTCCTGAAAATCCTGGGCTAATACCGAGGTAGAGAAGAGGAAAGAAAATTCAAAACACTGGGAAAAAAATCCGTGTTGAATCAGTAGCAATAACAGCATACCTACACGAATTAATCATGGTTCAAAGCAGAGATCACTGCCTACCACTCTGCAGTGAAAAGGAAAAGTTGGGAAAATGAAAGGGAAACAAAAAGAGGTGTATGCTTACAATTGGTATGTTATCATATGTCTACTTCTACCAACAAGGTTAAAGTAGAAGTTGGCATGTTTTAAATCAACTGCCCATTTCAAGGGGTCTTTGGGCTTCTAAGACTACAACGTTTTGAGAAGGAGGAGCCTAAAAGACAGAAAATTGTATCTCTGCCAAGACAGGTTTTCCCCAAATCACCAGGATCTGCCTCAGAAACATCAGCCTCCTCTAGCAATATATGGTGATAATAAAAATCAACCCAGATGTTTAGTTTAATCTAGGCACTTTCTTAAATTGAAAGAAAACAATCAGGAATTTTCCAATCTTTATTTACAGAATAAAATCCACGAGCATAGCATGTGGCTATAGAAGAGTAGGAGGAGAAGAAGGAGTGGAAGAGAAAGAAGAAGAGGAAGGTGAGGAGCAGGAGGTGAAGGAGAAGGAGAAAGAAGGAGAAAAAGACAGAAGAAGAAGGAAGAAGGAGGAGGAGGAGGAGAGGAAGAGAAGAAGAGGAGGAGGAGGAGAGAAGAAGAAAGAAGAAAAAGAATTAGAAAAGGAATGTACTTAGTAATCAAGACAGGCTGCATAAACACTATTTACCACTTCTTAAGGTGTATATAACAAATCACTGATGCCTCATTTTTTCCATTACTGGAAGGGAAAAAATAAAAGCTCTATAATGAATTGGTTAGCCAAGCTTGTTCATAACCTCAATTATCTCAGCAATTCAGAGATTCATATAAACCTCATGTGATGTTGCAATTCCTCCCCACCTAGCTAACATTTCAGGAGTCTTTCAGTGCTTGTGAATTAGACGGCCTAGCAGCTGAATAGAATATGTTTAACCTGTGTCCAAAGAAAGGTTTCTTCCCCCGCTCTATAATAAGTGCTGAATTCTCTTTCCACAGAGTGACACCGATGGGATGGAAGCAAGAAGTTGGTGTGTTCTCCGACCTTACGTGTGCTTTCTTTGCTTCCAGTGCCCTCACCAACAGCTCGTTTTGGTCCCCAGCCTACCTTGTAAATGTTGAGACTGCGATTGTGTGTGGGACTTCTTTTTGGAGGTGCATTTGTCTCTGCTGCTGTTTCTGTTCTCTGTGGGTTTGGTGTGAGGAGGGTCATCGTTTGTGGTCAGATATTTGAGAAGCTCCGAGCAGGGACGTCTTTGTGGCTTTTGCTGTTGACAAATACTCTTCGCTTTATTGCTCCATGAATTCTCAGTCTTAAAAACAAGGCATACAGAAAACTAAAATTAGTGAACTGAACCTTATCAGAATGGATATAGGTTTTCTGAAGAGATGGGATTTTTCAATGAAGTGTTCAGTCTAAGTGTACTAGATCTATGAGCTGTGAATAATTGTTTGCAGAACAAGGGAAGAAAATTACATTTAAAATTCCTAAATGACATTTATGCAGCTTTTTATTTTATTTCTCCTACATTTCAATGTTCCTACTCAGCAACATGTAACTAACAAGACCCTACAGCGCCTTTACTGTGAATACAAAAAAAAATAAGCTGTTTTAAACCTTAATTTGCCACTGATTGCTGACGCCCAGTACTCACAACTCTCTTAAGTATCCCTTAATGCTCCGTTTTCACTCACAGTGAATGGCAAGACAAACAATGTTTAATACAGCCCGCTAGCCGAATTATGGCATTGCCAGCATTCCATCCAATTAATGGCAGAGAGAGATGTTTTGTGGTGATTCCAAACGCAATCTTCCTCAGGTTAGACAGCTAGCAAAACAGCAATCCTGCATCTTAAAGCCACTCATAGATAATACCAGCTTATCAGCAAATTTTACTATAGCCCACAATGCTGCAGGTAACAATAAAGTGGGCAAGAACTAACAGACAGTGGCACTTCCATTCCAAACACCCAAAGACAATGCATAAATGAACTCTGCCTAGTTTAAAGTAGCTCAAGCGCTGTTTACGGAATCCCATTCATCATGGATTTCACCATTATGAGGCAGCTTCGGGGTCCCAGCTGAATTAATACCTATGAACTTATTTGTTTTACAACTTCAAGCCAAAATCCTTTGGTACTTCCCCCCGTATTAAAAAATTTACATTTGTACCTTAACAATTGCAGGGTTTGTTCTGATCCTGTGATTGTGATTTGCATGGTTCTGGGTACTGAGACCACTGCATTCATTATAACTTAGCTGAGTGTTGGCCGGTGCCAGTAAGAGCTTCTTAAGCTAGAAACATTATCAGGAAAAGGGAAAAGCAAGTAAAGTTATGCATCTTTTAAGCATTGGAATAAGTTATTGAAATTTTAAATGTAATTTATTGTAATTATAAAAGTTAATTCTGTCATTTTATTTATGTCACACCTTAGCGCAATAGTGCTACAGGAAATATGATATTTAAAGAGTAGAAAAAAGTTTGACATTATACTACCAACTGTGAAAATATTTCCTTTTTCCTTCCAATTCAATTTCTAGAATTGTATGCATAAGAACAAAAATGCAAATATGCCAATTATTATACAAGTAATAATAGTGAAAAATAGAAGGAAAATCTCAAATTTTCCAGCCATAAGGGATTACTGAATAAATTGGACTTGGTGTGATCTACATATTTTTTTTAACAAATAATGCAAAAAACATCTTTCGAAAATAATTTCCAAATCACTACTAGGTGAGAAAAGCTGCCTTGCTGAATGAAGACATGGGAGTGTAGTGTGGGGGGTGGGGGAGAATAGATACACATTTTCTTTTCAAAAACCCAAATAAGTCAAGTGGCAACAAATGAAAGATTTTATGATGCTTTGAACCATGTTTCATAACCTAGTATATGAAATTACTGATTCAAAGAATGCCTGGAATAAAAGAATGACTATCACTGATTCCAGAAAAGAAAAAAAGGATTTGTAAGTAGAGTCCTGGCCTGTGGATCAGGAGACGTGGGTGCTGACACAGGCAAAGCATTTGCTGTCTCCTGACCTCTGTTTCTTCATTTCACTGGATGACCCTCAAGGACTTCCTTGTCCTGACATACAGTATGTCTCTGAGTCAGCTGCTCTTCCCAAATGAACAAATTGAATAGATGAAAACAATCTGATATCAATGGAAAGGAATCAGGGTACTAGGGAGCAAAGCCAATGACACTAACAAATGGAGAAATTGGAGAATAAATAACAATTACTTATGAGATACTCTCTATATCAGAAACCTCAAAATCCAATGGACTCTAAGTATGGCCTCCATGTATTTGCATAGAGTATTTTTAACATTTAAAAACTTAGTGATAGGAGAGTAACAACCTCCAAATGGCATGCGAAACACACTATTAGAGTCTGGAGGATCATGGCATCCCATAATTTACACAGCATGCCCTTATATCAGACTTATAGCAAATGACAAATGGCTACCACAGATGAGAAGGTAAACTGTGTCTTAGAACTAATAAAACTCTGGTCAAGCACTGCATTGAAAGGAAAATTCTCTCTTCATTGCCAACAAATTCAGTCTTCATTGTCTACCATAAATTTAAGTAACTTGGGTGGCAAACATGCTATAGTTTTTCAGTCTTCATAAGAAATACGGATCCAAAGTCTTAAAACATTGCATATTTGTTGATCTACCAATTCTAACTCTACGATTGTATGTATAGGAATAAAAATGCAAATATGTCAATTATTATACAATTTAAAATAGTGAAAAATAGAAGAAAAAACTAAATATCCACCCATAAAAGATTGCAAAATAAATTATAATATTTCCATACAATAAAACAGTATGCAACCATTACAAATTATGCATATATTTAAATTTGAACCAATATGTTCATGATATATCTTAAAAGAATATTGCAATCATTTTTATATGAGAGGTTATTTGAAATCACAGGTGAAATTTTTAGTTTTTTCTTTTTAGTTGTCAACATTTTCTAAGTTTTCATCAAGAACATAAATAATACTAAGACAGAAAAATACACATAACAGGAAAAGATAGTAAAGAAAACAATTGCAATAAGATTACATGAAGATGTGTATTATCAACATTTTTGAACAGAGAATCGCACAATTTGCAACTCTGAGTGTGCTTGGGGATTGCTTTGGCATCATTCTAAATGAAAAAATCCAAACCTTATTGTGACTACATCATACCCATGCAGCGGGTAGCCAGAGGCAACTCCAATTCCTGCTAAACAGTAGGAAGGGTTCTTACTAGAGACGGCTCTTCTGCCTCCTGGGGTGGAGGGGTGCCGTCAGGCATGGAGGAAGGACTAGCCTCATTGTCAGTGGTCACGTCTCCATCTGTCAGCGCATCAAATGAGGGCAATCCGTCTTCATCCACAGGGAGACTGTCCAGTGTCTCTGTGAGGACTGCTAGCAAGTTTGCCTCATTCTCTTCATCTATCTTCTGCAGAAACAGAAAAAACCAGAAGATGTGAGTTGACACTGGGAGGCAGGTAACACTATGCATCAACATGTTTGACCAAATGAGTGAACCATATGTGAAATCTAGAATGCCCATTCCAGAACACAAACATCATATCTTTCTCAAACTCCAAATTCATGTTTTGGTCCAAATGACACAATTAATGAATACTTCTACTGTACTAATCTCTGATGGTTGAGCTACCCAGTTTATCAATTTGTTATGTCAGCGCTAAAACTGCTGTATACAATTCTTCTTGGTCATAGAAGTGTTTTCCACTTGCTCACGTTTTCTTTCCCTGACTAAAAGAAAAGATTGCGAGAATCTTGGAGCTTGAGAGAATTTTAACCATCATCAATTTCATTTTCAGATATAGTGTTTGAATCTCCTATACAGCATACCGCCCAAACTGTCTAGACAGCTCTCTATTTGAATGACACCAGAAAGTGGAACTATACTGAGAGCAACTATACACTTTCATGGTTTCAATTATAATCTCATCACTGAACACTCCAAAATCATTTATTTATTTTGCTCCCTGATATCTCTCCCAACTTTAGTCATAAATCTCGAACTGCCTACTGGACACTGCTACTTCATAATAGCTCCCTCATCCCCAAAACCCAAACTCTACAACTTTCACAACAAAACTGCTATTTCTTTTGACTTCTTTAGTTCGGGTAACAATTCTTCAGACTCAAACTCTGGACCTATTTTGACTCTTCTTTCTCTGATCAGTCACTGAATGAAGTCTTACTTTGTAATGTTTACTAAATGCATTTATTTCTTGTAGCTGGGGCACTATTCCAGTGCACTATTATTTCTAACAGGGGCTCCTGCAAATATATCCTACCTTGTTTTTGACTCATTCCCACCAACACACTCTTAGAAAGCTAATCTTCAATCATTCACTTAACAAACATTTTTGAACATCTACTCTGTGCCAGGGACATCTGAAGTATGGGAGATACAAAGAGAAACAAGACAAAAGTCTGCCCCTCCAATAAACACTACTGTGGAAGGGAAGAACCTGTAAACAATTCATTATAAAATATAATATTTATTTCAGTACTCTGTAAAAAACGTTCAAAGACTTCCGAACATGTACCTTGTTAACAAGGCAATGTGTTATATTCTATGCACGTGGACAACCAGTACCATCACTGGGCACATGGCATAGCTAATCAATGATTACTTGCTAAATAATTCATTGATCTGTGTTTATTGCCAACAATATCTTCTGGACCATTTTCTTTTCCTTCTTTTAGCACTTCACATTGTTTGTCCAATCTGACCTGCTTCCAAAGTCTTCTTTTTAAAGTTCTGTACGCTATGACATTAACAATATGAGCTAAATTATCCCACACAGATTTTATTACAAAATGCACCTAAGCTGCTGACATCTAATGAAGCTAGCAGTGCCCACGCTTCCTTTCTCTCTAGCACTGAACTCTAGTTAATTGACCTGACAAAATTACAAGAATCACAGAATAAGACAGCTAATCAGAAAATCAAATTGTATTACTAGAGAAATTAGGCAGGCCTTTATCACGTATACATTCTATTTTCACATAAAAATTGTTTTCCTTCATTCCTGATCAGCCTCCATCCAGGAGTAAAACTAAGGACTTCTTCTGGATTCAAGAGGCCAAGAAGAGCCATTTGTACTCCCCAGGGACTTTAATTGGCATTTTTTAGTTTGCGTAATGCATCCCTCTCATGTCCGTGGATTTGAGACTGTGAGTCAAGTAGTTTGGGTGCAATGTGGTGTGTATGAAGTTTAAAACTTTAATGCAGGTGCTGGGCACGGTGGCTCATGCCTGTAATCCTAGCACTTTGGGAGGCCAAGGCAGGAAGATCACTTGAGGCCAGGAGTTCGAAACCAGCCTGGCCAATGTGGTGAAACCTCATCTCTATTAAAAATATAAAAATTAGCCAGGTGTGGTGGCACATACCTGTAATCCCAGCTACTCGGGAGGCTGAGGCAAGAGAATTGCTTGAACCCAGGAGGCTGAGGTTGCAGTGAGCCAAGATCACGCCACTGCACTCCAGCGTGGGTGACAGAGGGAGACTCTGTCTCAAAAAAACCCAAACCTCGAATTCAGGAGGCAAATCCTAATCAGAAGGGGTAACTGTTAACTTCAAAATGGTGCCACCTACTTCCATAAACTGACCAATAGTTAAAATCCAAATTGCACAAGTCAATAACTAAAACTTATTGAATACCCTCAAGTGCTCAGGGTATTGAATACCCTCAGGCCCTCGGGTAGATTCTTCAATCTACCTTCTTTCAATATGCCTTTGAAAGGACCCTGTATATGTAATTCTAACATTAAATAGACTGAAATAATATTCCTTATTTTCTGCCCAGGATCATAATCTGGTATCCACAGATTTCAGTAACTCCTTTCTTTCATTCCCCCACATACAAAAATTAAATTGAGATTATTTAACTGTTCTGAGTACAATTATATTTAAATGAAATATATGTATTTTAAAAATCATCTCAAAGTCATGAGATTTACATTATTATAACTATCTCCACATTATCTAATAGTTTTAGAAAATATATCAAATACACATGCACACACAGACACATATACACACTTTCAATAAATTGGACATTTTTCCAAGTATCCCGTTTTTCAAAAAAGGCTTATTTCATTGATGTCCAAAAATAGTTCCAGAAAAAGAGTTAAGAATATTTACCAATAAATGGATAATGTTGTTTACAATGATTTAAATTTTGTGTTTGGCTTTCCAGCAATACTACCAGCCGTTATTTGCTTTCAATCACATAATACAATAGCGCCTTAGCTCTATCCCTAACGTAAACAAACTACAATAATTCCAATCAAGTTAAAATGACAAAGAACACTTAAACCAACCAGTTTTCTCCAATGTCTTTAATAAGTCTGGGAGAATGTATAACAAATACAATGGCAAAAGTTTTGGAGCTTGATAATGTCATAATTAATTTATAAGATCTGATTAAACCACCAACTATTTTAATTCCCCTCTCTACTGGAAACACAATGAGAGGGAAGGATTTGTAAGATGGGAGATTAGCATGGCGGCCTGTGTGTGTGTGTGTGTGTGTGTGTGTGTGTGTGTGTGTGTGCGCGCGCGCGCGCGCGCATTGAAGTATGTGGGTAGTAAGGGCTACTATTCAGCCAGTATCTATCATAGGACTGTAATGACTGTAATGATTATTTACAGTCTGTATCCATTACAAATGATTATTCAATACTATTGTTATTATCTCTGTATGTGGGTGACTCAGAGAGGTGCTCCAAGACCATTTATTTAAGTAAATTTGTTAGTGAATTAAGAAAGGAAACAAATGTTATTGTTTCAAATTATCTGTGTTTTCTTTAATCATAGGAAACTGAGAAGAAAACTTGATATTTGCTGATGACACTTTGTGTTTATGTAATGTTGAGTGGATATTGCCCCTCACTGTGGCAATTTCAATTAGTTTAGCATGAGTTTCAACAATCACACACCCCGGAGAAGGCAATGGATGTGACAGAGAGGACTCTGTTAAACAATTAATGTCACTTCCCATTATTGCTTTGGTCCCAATTTACAGAGCAAATAAATCAAAGTCACCGCAGTTGAAGCACACTGGCCCACTCACACATGTCTGTTCACAGGTGACAGGGTATAGAAACACATTAGTCACCACACTGACATTGCCAGATAACCTTTCAAAGACTCAGCTCTGATACTGCTTTCTAGTTGTTTGAAATTACTATTTTACAAAACGATATACTTCTTAGCTCCATCCGAGTTGGGAAAAAAAGAAAAGAAAATGCAGAGTGGGGAGGAAGAAAGAGCAGGTCACCAATTAGATAGTGATCTACAGCTACACAAACTAAGCTCAGCCTTGGAGCTGGCAGCAGAGGCGGAAGGAAAGGGAGAAAACAGGCCAACGGGTATTTCCACAGTGGAGCTCTGTGGCTATCAAACAGCATTTCCCACGGTGGGTGTCAACCTTGGGTTCTCCTTACGCAATGCAATTCTTCCGACCTAAATAAAGGTCTGTGTGACTGTAACACCTTATTCTCTAAGGGCCCTCTAGGAAGAAAGAAGGCACATCAACAAAAACTCACTCACGGTGTAAACAATTTCCAGTGACAGATGATACACATGCATTTATACGGAAAACCCAAAATTTAGAATCTGCAACAATTCCTAAGTGTTACCATGTCATTAATAAATGATAGTTTAGAAGAGTCAACAAAATGAGAAGGTTTATCTCTGCTCTTTTGGACAGCTGTGTCCCTCTATGACCTGTACTAGTCTGACATAATTTAAAAGGCATAGTTGAAAGAAGATAGGTTCTGTCCCTTCAGGTGGCAGATTTACAGATTAAAATTAATAGATTAAAATTCTGAACCCAGTTTGTAATATTTGGGTCTTCTTCCTTTGCGCACAGTTGGCAAAAGGATCTTCCAACTGGTTATACATGGTGTGGCAGACAGTGCATTCAACTCACCCAACTGCACACAGAGGGTCAATAAATCCACTAAATTAAGGAGGAGAGGAGGGACTCTGAGATGCTAACTGCCACCTGAAGGGAGAAGTGCAGAGTGAATACTGCATGTGGTATCCCAAAGACTTTTAAATGCGAGCTATTATGAAAGGACTATGCCCTGCTTATGTTAGTCATTTTTTCTGCATCTTGTAGGATTGCAATTACACTCTGTGTCCCCAGATTCTCACACTTGCTTGATCTCTGTTTGATAAAAATAGTTTAATAGCCATTTAATCACAGCTTCATTATCTTGGCTCTCTTAATGCGAATTAGGCCAGGAGAATTCTCGCTTCCTCATTATTCAAATCATCAATAAGAAGGAAACAGTGGGGTCTTCTTATCATTCATTAATCAGTTTCAGTATCTTAGGTACTGTGTACTCAGAGATCAATCTGTGTGAGAGGTGACTTAACCTCTCTGAGCCTCTAATTATTTTTCTATA